AAGGGAAAAGGTCTAAGAGGGACCTTAAGTTTTTCACGCAACCTTCCGCACTTCCAGACAGTTATCGGACGAGGTTGTACAAAATCAGCTGGGTACAACGAGCTGCGTACAATCCGATAAGCAGTTGTCAGCCTCTCTTGTCATTGGCAACTTGGCTTCATGACGACCCTTTCCACCTCGATCTAGCCCGTAGGCGCTCGATGACTCGCCGCAGCTCGAAACAACCAGTCAAGCTGTACCTGAATCGAGTGAATCTGATGCGTACGTTTGGTGCTGAGTTGCAGGGATACCAAGTTTGAGGAACTGAGCAGTACATAGTGTTTCAAACCTGGCAGTTGCCAGCCACAGGCAAGTCCCCCGCCTGTTTGCAAGTGCTGTCAGAGTAAGCCGCACCGGACAAAGACAAAATCAATCTAATGCCGTGTTCGAGTCTTCCAGGAGCTGGACCATACGTGTTCGTTGCAAGTAGTGCGGGGCTTAGTTTCAAGCTGTGTGTTAAAATCGGAATCAGCCCACCAGTCATCGTTGCTGTCCTGCTGGCGGTGGTACCATGCTGCTTGATATGTGGAGAAGATCTAAAGGCTGGTGCCCTGCGGGCGCGAAGCGCCTGGTGATGCACTTGAGTAAACCTGCTTGCCTACCCTTGCCACTTCCGTGGTGGATGCAGCTCCAGCGATCTTTCTTCGTCCTCCCATTGGCGATCTTCTTTCCAGCCAGAAGGTTTCTTGAAGACACAGAACACATGTGTCGACATGCTGGTTCATCTACTCCTGCAGTTCAGCTCTTACAAGGGAGGTAAGGCTACTGGCGTTCCATGTCACCGTCGGCATCTGCGCTGCACGGCTGAAGTTCGTGGCTTAGGAGGCATGGGGCTCTATCTGGATAAGACTAAAAGATCTGGGCACGTCTGTTGCGCTGCTGTGGGCCTGGGCGCAGATGTTCTCTGCTAAGTACCTGGCCACGATACAAGGCAACTTCTTGCTGAGCTGCTGTGGAAATAGCCTTGCGTAGTGCGCGTTTGTGCTTCGGTCGGGTATGTGGACCTGGCTTCGCCTTCGACGGAGCTTCTGGTTCGGAGCTCAACTCTCGCTCGCGCCTTGCATTCATCTGCATGTGTCTGCTCGCCCCTGGACTTGGAACCAGAGCGGGAAATGTGCATCATCAAAATCTGGAGGGTAGCCTACTTGTTGGTCTGCGGCCTCGAAGTCTTTTGCCACATGCCCTGACGAGGCCCACCTGGAGAGAGTCGAGAGCCGTGACTTTGGTCTGGATCCCAGCTTTCCTTTCATTAAGTTGGATCACGTCGACGTCGTCGTGCGAAACCCGAGGCCGTGAGACCCAAACGGAGCAAGTCAAAGCATTTGTGGGGGTTTCAGAACACAGATTCTGCTACCCAAACACACACCGGCAATGGACGTGCTGCTAGTGTCGCAAAACTCACAACTAGATCCAGCAGCTGCTTCAAGTTTGCAGGCCTACAAATCGCTTCCAAGCGCCCCACGGTTTTTTTTTGCAAATTTGAGTTTGCACAGCCTCAAAAGCAGTTCCATTCAAGACGCAACGATTGTGGAAACATGACGATGTTGCAAGCACCTCTCTGAGGCGAGCAAGGCAGACCAAGAACTTTCGTATGGACCTGACAGGCAACTGTTGAGGCAAAGTTGACGTGGTCTGACTGTGGAGGCGTTCCCACGAGCAAGAAGCAGTCATGCTTCGTGCAGTTCTACGATGAGCAGCTCTTCCAGAAGGACACCAGAATGGTGGTTGCTTCAACGTTTTGAAATTGTTTGGGTGCACACGCTTCGTTCGGACGGCTTGAGCGGTTGTAATGTGTGACTTGGAAGCGTTTTGCAGCTTGCTTGTTGGTCGGTCGAGCGTGGAAAAGTTGCCTGTTGAGCTTGACGTAGAGTTGAAGGTGCTAGCGTGTCGGGCGGTCGGTCGTGCGTGTCGGTCGGTTGGTTGGACATGCTTGGTTGGTCGGTCGGCTCTGCGTGCAGTGTTGTTACGGACAAAGAACCAGAAAGAGATGGGACCAACATGCCCATCAGGCTGCTGGCTGGATTTGTAGGTGCGTTTTGCTGTGTTAGCACATGGATTGCTCCTTTCAGGTTGTTCGTTGTTCTGTTTGTCATTCTCCGCAAAAGCAGCTGAAGAGAATTCCCGCATTTGTGACGGGCTTATTTCAAAGGCCGAAAACCCTTCGAAAACGTGTGCACCACAACGGCTCCCAGTAGTTGGTTGCGCGCTAGGCGCAGGTCTCTTGCACTCATGGCTCTTGCCAAGAACGCTGGAAGCCAAGATGCTGAACCAAGTACCGTTTTGCGAAATTCTATGTTTAGTTGTAACGCAATAGGAAATGCTATGCTGAAACAGTTGTTGAAAAGGTCTACGCTTCGTGCCTGCAGCTTCCCTTGTTAGTTGGCTGCACTCCGGACGTCGGTCTCTTGTACACGGTCTGAGCGCTTCTCGTTCACTGCTTTGTTAGTCTGTTTGCTTTTATTTAATTGTGTTTGATTCATAAGTTGCTTGCTTTGCGCCTTTGTGCGGACCGAGTGCAGCAGCCACTGTCCACGAGGCCGACCCACGCAAAAAAAAGGAACATGCTGAAACAAGCAAGGTCTGCAAGTGTTTGGGTTGTGTCGGTTGTGTTGATGTGTACTTTTGCTGAGTCTGGAGTTTGTGAGGTGAAACCTGGGTTGGATGCAGTGGTTTTGGTGTAGACGGTACATGTCTGTCGTTTTGTGATCGAGACTTGGCTGTGGCATCACGTGTTCATGGTCGGCTTCAATAAATCCATTTGGATGACAGCCGAAATGGGGATGCAAAGCACGAATGTGGTCCAGGAAGCCCGAAGGAAAAGAAAATACAATCCACGCCGGAATACGGTCCAGGGCTGGTTGCGTTTTTGGAATGACCGGGCTGATAGGAGGTCATGTCGCTGCACGCCACTGGCACAAGCTCGCACTTTCACTTTGCAAGTTAAACACCGAATTCTCAGACAAACCCAAGTCGCAAACCCCAATCTAAGACCTGGCTGAAACTTGTCGGGTGTACCTTCTTTCCCGAACCCAAGCCCAAAATCTTCAGAGGCCCAAACCCTACACCTTCCATTGCCTTAAACCTTATAGCTTACATCCATAATCCAAAACCCTAAGCCGCCTTGACCCAGACGCCTTCAATCCTCCGTCGTCAAACTCATAAAAACCGTTCTCGTAACCCTACAAGTCCTGATGAAACCTTTATGAAGCATTAGCAACACTTTTACAAAAGCTTTGTAAAGCCTATAAGACCCGTTCAACTCAATCTTCGAACCATGGGATCGCCAAGTGCAGCGCTGCAGGTGCCTTGGCGTAATTGTGATTTGGTCCAGGGTCTTTCTCCTGTGACTACGACCCGACATCCTGACTGTCTAGTTTTCACAGTAGACATAGACTTAGACATGTGCCGTTGCGCCATGTTCATGAGAAACAATTTCATCATTCATCAAGTTCGAACGGTTCCACATAGTAGCAAAGCAGGACCGGAACTTGAAGTGCTTGCTTTCAGGTCTTTGAAACCAGGTTTCGACCCTAAACCCTAAACCCTAAACCCTAAACCCTGAACCAATTCATGGGGTAGATGTCCGAGTCTTAAACCACGGATCGTATGATATCCCATGACCCTAAGGCGAGTCTTCACGGTTTAGGGTTTAGGGTTTAGGGTTTAGGGTTTAGGGTTTAGCATCGACTCTCCCGAAACCCCTTAAACCCTAAATCCTAAACCCTGAACCGCCAGAGAGGAGACATCTCAACCCCGAGACCTCACCTGGAGTTATACTTGTTTAGGGTTTAGGGCCTTTAGGGTTTAGGGTTTAGGGTTTAGGGACCGTGAGCCCAAAACCCTGAAATTCTGAACCTAAACCCAAAACCCTAGCCCCTGGACCCTCAGCCATTGATATTGTGAGGCCCCTAAAACTTCTGGTCCGCGGTTGAATCCTTGAGTCTTCAAGATTAGAGCTGCATGCAGTTTAGTGCTTGGCAACTGTTGCAGAAGCCGAAACCCTAAACCCGAAACCCTAAACCCTAAACCCTAAACCACCCTAAACCCGAAACCCTAAAGTCTTCAGGAAACTCCCGGCTTTGCAGCTTGGGATCCGTTTACGGATCCCACCGATGCGAAAGAGGCGAGGAAGATCGTTTCTGCAAACTCGTACGGGGAGTAACTGTAGACTCTGAGACCCCAAGCTCGAAACCTCGATCCCAAAGCCCAATGCGTTTGGAGAATCTTCTCTGTGATGCGGGCCCCGCTGGGGCCGTTCGGAAAGCAGTACTGCATGCAGTAGATTCGCGATACTTTGGCCATAAGGTGGTGAGCTTAGGGTTCTGTTCGGGCCGCGGTAAGAAAACTCGAGGAGTCGAGCAGTACTTTGCAGAGGGTTTAGGGTTTAGGGTTTAGGGTTTAACCCCAGAGCCTTAAAACCCTAAACCCCAAACCCCAACCTAACCTATCATTCGCTTCGGTTGGCATGTGCAGTGTATTGGATGGCCCCGGGGTCCTTCCAGGAACAGGAAGCCACCCAGGGGCAGGGACAATGGTGACATTAGTTGTACGTCTACAAGAAGTCCGTCTGAAGGGCAGTCTGTGAAGCCCATTCGCACAAGGAAGCAAAAACCTCTTAGAGAACTGGTAGGATCCTGTTTGGCGGGTTCTGTTGCTTAGATCCGTTATATAATTGGTGTTACTCGCAGGCATGCTAGCCGATACCGAGATTCCTAGGCCTTAAGCCTCAAACCCGAAGAACTAAACCCCAAGCCTTAAACCCTAACTCCAAAGCTCTGAACCCTAACTCCTAAATCTTATAACTC